ATGAGCCTCAGGCGTCGAACAGACCAGGGTCCTTGCCACATACAGTATGTCAGCCTCTTCACCTCCTTACACTTAGAATTGTCGATTCGTCGTGGGGCCAACTTCTCTGCCCCGGTACCATAAACCCTAAACCCTAAACCCTAAGCCCTAAACCCCCGCCATGGCGCCCTTCAGCCCCAGCAACGCGGCAAGCTCGAGCGCGGAGTCCCAGGAAGCCACCGCCGAGCAGAGAAAGGAGCTGCGGATTCTTGGTAGCCCGTAGTTTCGGGTTTAGGGTTCAGGGTTTTGGTTTGGGTTTTAGGGTTTAGGGTTTAGGGTTTAGGGTTTAGGGTTTAGGGTTTAGGGTTTAGGGTTTAGGGTTTAGGGCTCAAAATAGCCCAGTGGTACGCTTTTCCATATTTTTGCTTCAAGGTTCCCTTATCCAGTAGCCAACCCAGAAAAGGGCGCCCTTATTGTAATGTAGTGACTGGGCTACCAAGGACGGCTGACTATGTCGCAAAGATGCAGATCGCCAGCCCTGAGGTGTTGCGTGTGACCCCGGCACACATGGCCCTGTGCAGGTTCGGAAAGGCCTTCCGCGGTACTGAGGAGAAACTGTTTCACAAGAGCAAGAGAAGCCAAGAGATCGAGAGGTTTTGGTCTCATTCATGGCATGGCAACTCGTGGGCGAAGGTGCTCACACTCTTCGTGCTCTACAATGGTTTGCCCGCTGTTGTGCTCGGGACGTTGGCTGCCGCCGTGATGATGGTGTTGTTTGGCTTGGGGGTCTTGCCTGGCTTCAACAGGACGTCGGGACTTTCCGACGCTGAATCCTCTGTCTGGAGTCTTTGTGCTGGCCTGCTCGTTTACGCAATCGTGCTTGTCCAGTGGCGTCCACAACAAAGAGTGTTCTTCGATCGAGTCTGCATCAGCGAGGACGACCCCGGCCTCAAGGCAAAAGCTATTCGAAGCCTTGCAGGGATTCTGAGGAATTCGAAGCAGATGTTGGTTCTTTGGGACCAGAGCTGGAGTACCCGGCTCCTAGGACCCAGAGAAGGGCCCTTGTTCCCATTTTAGGGTTTAGGTTCCTTCTTAACCCCCTTTAGCCCAAAGAGGGCACCCTTTTTCTTGACTAGGTTGCTCCTGGGCCTAGGCTCTGGTGCTTGTTTGAGTTGGCCGCGTTTTTGAAATGCAAGAAAGCCAAAAGCGAGCACGTGCTGATCGTGAGACCCACCCTGGTTGGACCGTGTTCAATCGCCGTGTTCACAACTGTTTCCGCGGGCATGTTGGGCGTGCTTACGTTTCCGGTGCTTGCTTCTTCTCCTGATCGGCGTTTTTGGGCAGCCGCCTCACTGCTGCCATTGGCGGGTTTTGCGGTGTGTTTTTCAGCAATGTTTGTAGCGGCGTTTGTCTATCTTCGACGGTATTATCACTCCATCCATACCTTCGTGGAGAAGCTCCGATCCGGCCACTTTGACGAGGTCACCTGCTCGTGCTGCCAGCTGAACCATGTGGACAAGCAGGGTCAGCGAATACCGTGCGACAGGGAGGTGGTGAAGCGATGTGTGGCAACTTGGTTTGGCAGCATCGCAGCATTTGAGGAGTTCATCAATGAGGAGGTGGGGCTTTGGGGTTCTTAAGGTAGTAGGGAGTAGAAGGGAACCTTAGGTTATGTACCTCCCTGAATCCCCCCTCCCTTAAGAACGCTAAACCCTAAACCCTAAACCCTTGTAGAGACTCACCCTTCTCCGCGCTTGTATGTTGTAGGTCAGTAGAGCCTGTAGCATGCAGTTATGTTGTTTTCCTTTGTTGCTGCTTTAGGCCCAAGGTTGTATGCAACACTTCAAGCATTATCATTGGAAGTAGCATAGTAGCAACTCCTAACTGAACAAGATCTTCTTTGTTGCTGTGTGAAAAAGAGACCCTCTGAGGGTATTGCTTGCCATGGATTCCTTGTTAAGGGAAAGACGCACTTTATTACAGCCTGAAGGGTCCGCTCACGCGGCTCTTCAGGTTATGAGCCAAACCGGGCTGCGCAACTCCAACATGGCCGACGCTACCCCATCCGGAAGGGTCGGGCTTGCACAGGTGTCTAGGAGCAATCAGCTCAAATCGAACCAAGTGCAGGTGCCGATTCAGAATGCCTTGACATCACACGAAATAGGAGGAGCGTGCTGGGCCAAGTTTGGGCACAACACATGGGGCCATGAGTCAAAAGTGTAGAGCTACGGCGCAAACGCCAAACGGAGGTGTGGATGAGAGGGCAATCAGAGTGCAAGTATCACTAGTGGAGCGCGCGCTTGAAGGTGCAAATTGGTTGGGGGAAATGTGGCAAGCCATGATGCAAACGCCGCCCTCAACCAGCACCCTTGCAAACAGCCGCCCAACATCCAGCCCCCAACACACAGGTTTTGCGACCCCAGGTTTAGGGGGAGATTTAGCAGAAGAGCATGCCACGGAGCAATGCCATGCGATGCCTGGAACCGGTAGGCAGGTTTTGACCGCAGCGCATGCCGGAAGGCATGACCATTGTGCCACTAAGGAGCGTGACCATGAGACCGCCACTATCAATCAGTTGACGCCGGGGTCCGGTAGGCAGGTCCAGTTGGATGCCAACTCGCCTGCCGGAAGGTATGGCTGCAATGCAGTAAGAGGTCATCAGGAGGAAGTGCGACGACAAGTTGCAATTTTCATGGCGCAACATGCTGAGGCAATGAAAAGGTTGCAGGATGAAAATGCAGCCCTGCGGGATTGGTGTAACCAATCCGCCGCCTCACAGGCCTTTCCCAGCCAGCAGGTCCACGTGCAAAGGAGCCGCCGGCGAGCGTGCCAGCATCATGGAGTGGGGATGGGGTTCCTAGCGTGGTTCAACCAGTAGGAGTTGCGTCAGAAGCAACTGCGGGCATCCCTCAGACAGGAACGAGCCTGTCGTCATTGATAGATGATGCGCCGGGCATAAGTGTGCCAGCTCTAAGCAGTGCACCGCCTGCCCGAAGGCCTGGCACCATGCAACCAGCAGGTGCCGACTCCTCAGGCGTGTATGCAAATGTGTGCAGTGCAATGCCGGCCGGAAGGCCTGGTGCCATGCCAGGTGCCCGGGTCCCAATCCAGCAGCCAGGCAGAACTCCCAGGTGCACCGGCGCAAGGTGCCAAGGTCCAAGGTCCCAATCCAGCCGCCGAGCTGGCAGGACTCTTAGGTGCCACTCAGTCTGCGTCAAACGTGCCCGTTGGTGCAACCAACGGTTTGCAGGGGCCGCAGGTTCCATCTTTTGCAGGCTCAATGCCACTTCCACCGCAGGCCCAAACCCCTCATCCCTGGTTAAGGGGTTCGGCTGAGTCAGACCTGTTGTCAGGTTTGGTGACTGGTACGAAGCAGCTCCAGGATGCACTGATAAAGAAAGAGTCTGATAAGGTGAATGTAGGTAGGGATGAGCCCGACACAGCTCAGGCTCAGGTGCCAGGCATAGACCAGGTTTGTGAGCTTTATGGTGTAGTTGACTTCGCTCAGGGTGTGAATAAGGGTTTAGAGATTTCTGCAGCCAGTGATCCATTGCAGAGCTGGAGCAACGGCCCAGCCGCAAAGCCCCAATGCACAACATTGCGCAACTCACTCACCTCGCGGGAGCAGTGGAGCTCTCGTCGCCAATGTCTGTGAGCCCGGAGGCGGAGCCAACATCCAGGTTGGAACGACGTGCGCAATCCACTTCAGCTACAGTGGGTTGCAGCCCTGTCAACAGCGATCCCACTTGGATGGCGTTGGAGGAGATGGTGTCGGAGGTCAAGAAAATGGCTGAATCCCATTCCGTAGCCCATGTAAAGACAAAGGGGGCTGTTGCGAAGGTTGCTGAGGACGAGTCCGAGTCAGGTGTTGCGAGTCAACTTCAGGAGCAGAGCTTCAGTTGCAAACTCCTGGACGCGAAGATTGATGCAACAACTGCCGGTCCACCCCGCGCTCCTGTGGACACTCAGGAGGCTGTGTTTGAGGAGGAGGTTACAAGCAAAGTGCACCTCACTCCCCGGGAGGGTGAGTCAAGCACCGCTCCCGCAAGTTGCAAACAGCTTGTGTGCAACACTGCGAACCCTTCCTCACGAAGGGATAGCAGAGCTGAAACGGCCAGCCGAAGGGTTGAGTTAGAAGTTGAAAGCAACTGGCAACTGCAGTGTGAGCGCAGCGAAACTGGAGCACAAGTTCCTGCCAGTGTTCGCGCCATGTCTGTTGGCTGCCATGAGCCAGCCGTCGCCGCAGCGAGTGTAGACGGGGATGGTTTTGGGCAGCACGCGCTTACGCAGCTAGCAGTTGAAGCTGTCGAGCATGTGATTGTGCAACGCGCTCGTGAACTCACAGCTAGCGCAGCCCTTTCCGAGTTGCTCCAACGTGTCGTTGTGCTAGCCGCGTGCGCAGTCATCAGCCAGGGACTGTGCCAGCATCGAGCACAAGAAGCCAAAGCACAAGCCAAGCCCGGTTAAGCGAAGCACGGCATAAGGTCACCCACTCGCCAGTCTGCTGCACTCATTTGTGCGCCGGGGGTAAGCCGGCCAGATTGCGCAGTGTGGGTCAAGACCGCGTAGCGTGCCGTGTAGCGACCTGAAGATGGCAAAGTGCCAAGAAGCCAATCAGGGCCAAGTTTTGCCACTCGGGAGGGAGAGCAGGCTTTGCAGTACTTGGAATCCTGGCTTTTTTATAACTAGTTAACATAGTTATGTTAGTTAGCTAAAAAGTTAGGTGGAGTTAGCTTAAGTTATAGACATCAAATGTAGAGGTAAGTTCCCTTGTAGTTCCTATAGTTTAAAGGCATTGTTTAGGCTACGGAGTCTGATACAAGAGAAGAAAATCAGTGGAGTCTAACAGTGGTTTAAGTAATAACATATATATATATAACATACCTTTTCAAACGTATGTAAAGGAAAAATACGTGTCCATGGCCTGCATGGGCAGGCTGTCGTGCATAGCCATGATAGGGCTGCAACATGTCATCTGCGTGTGGAAATGCCATGTGGCGGATTCAGAAGCATTGTTTTTTTCAAAGCCTGTGGTACAGCTGGTATTGTAGCAGCACAGTGGCCTCGCTCTCCGAGGTCTTGCTGTACACCAGTGGGTACAGGATGGAGTCCATGGTCACGAAGCCTTGCTCGTTGGTGATGGAGCACTTGGCGAACTGCTTTGTCTTCTGTGTCTCTGTTGGCCTCCAACGTTGGACGAGTGTGGCTTTGTCGTCTCCGAGCTCCAAATGGAAAAGCACCTGGCCCAGGTCCCATCTTCCGTTGTCCTGGCGGAAAACCACGACGTCCTGGGCATGGATGGCACCACCCCTTGCGAGCCTCGCGACGGAAGCAACCTTGGCTTCGCTCGCGGAGCAATCCACAAACTGGTTGAGGAATTGCAGCTGCTGCTTGTTGGGCTTCTTTGGCTTCACCAACTGGCAGGAGTCTGGAAACCGCCCGGGCTCTGTCAACGTGGTGATCTCCATGGCGAGCACTTGCTTCATCAAGTGGATCTCGAAGGCAGTGGTCTTCTGGAGCCTGGTGGCGAAAGCCGAAATTGTTTTATGTTTCCGTTCGCTGGTAAAAGTGGAGAGCAGGCAGCCATGCCGGTGGAGAAAATCTGGAAGATGCAAGAGCCAATGCCACTTCCTCATCAATCCCACGTCGAAGTTGGCCTGCTGGAAGCTCTGGATGGACTCTTCCGCAGCCTCCAGAAGGCTGGCCCTGGTGGTGGCCCCATACATGACCCCTTGGTGAACCTGGTCTAACAAGCAGGCCTGGCTGAGGAAAGCTTGGCAGGGCTTTGGGCAGGTTCCGCTTGGCACAAGTACAGAATGCAAAAAATGGCGAACGACTGGATAAATGCCTAGCAGGTCGGAAGCCTGGCAACTGAACTTGTGGCTGCTCTTGTACTTGGCGACCTTGCTGGCGTCAAACAAACCGGCCAAGTGACCGGCTTTGGTAGCACCTGGAAAGTTCCACATGGCCATGTATGGGCCCATGGCCTCCCAAATGTTGTAGTGCTCAGAGATGGCATGGAAGGTGTGGAACAGCACGACCGGGGCCGTTCCTTGCAGAATGCCGTGCATCCAGTCATGGCAGAATTGGCTGACTGGCTTCACCTGGTTCTTGGCCAACAAAGTCTGGTTGAGGAGCAAGGCATGGGCATTCCAGGTCCAGCCGGTGGCTTGTTGCCACTGCGAGAATTCAGCTTTGGTCCTGCACGTGGCTCGCCTTTCGTTTAATCTGTGGAAGGACTGGACGACGTCTTCGTCAGTGGTCAAGACCAACTGGCTGTACTTGGTGGTGCGATGGTCCATGGTGTCCTCGTCGTCGCCAGTGGTGGGTTGTCCTGAGTGGATGTTGGCACAAAGGATGCAGAATTTTGTGCCTGCGTCCCCCTTGCTGGACCAAATCTGCTTGTGGGCAGCACCGTCTGCAAGACAAATGGCCCACCGAAAATGCAGTCGAACATCGGAACCTGGGCCACATGGACTTTTCAATAAAAACCCTGCCTGTGGTTCCATGTGGGCATTGGCGAAGATGGCTTCCAAGATCTTGGACATGATCTGGCCAACGCCGCCTTGGACCTGGCTGACGAAGCTGGACCTTTCCAGGGAGATGGTGAGCCAGAGGTCTTCGTGGTGGAGGAACTGGTCCATCTCTTGGAAACTGGCATAGATCGCCCACAACTTTCGTTGGGCTGGTCCTAACACGTTTCCAGGAATCACCTCGTCCGAATAAATACTAAGTTGCCATGGCTTGGAGACCGATGATGGGTTGGCTCGGTGCTTCCTTTGGACCAGATCATGGAAGCTTCCACCCATCTGGAAAAGGCTGGCCAAGTAGACCAAAAGGTTGGCAAAATACATGGTGACTTTGGCACCATCATCGGTGGTGACCTCTGCTTCTTGGATCAAAGGACCCAGTGGCCCACCATGGCAGCTCTGTAGAAGCTCGTCCCTGGCTTTCCGCTGGTCATTGGAAGAGCTCTTCTCTGGGAGGCCTTGCTCCTTGGCGGCGTCGACAAAAGCAGCCAGTGCACTCTGGGAGTGAGCTGGCAAAGCGGCTTTGAAAGTAAGAAGCTGCTGCAGCTTGCTTCTTTTTCTTGGAGGTTCCATGGCCAGAAATGGCTGGAGGGGGGGTTTAGGGAAAATGCACAAGGGAACTTCCGGCAGACTAGTAGCTGGGGAGCGAAAATATGATGGAAGGATGTCTGTCTAACCCTGCTGCGATCTTTGGTCTTTCAAGCACGTCTGGAGCCAAAATGCTCGCCCACACAAGAATGGCCGGCCGTATATGGCTTGTGCAGAAACATGCATGCTGAACTTGAAGGCAGTGCCCCTTTTGTCCCCTGCTCGGCACGACCTCCTGCAGCCCGTGGCCTTGCATGGCTTCTTGCTACCCTGCACCTGGGTGGCGGCGGTGCTCCCCGCAAAAAGCCTTGCTTGGCAGCGGCTGCCTTGAAAAAAGGCCTAGTTCTTGGTCTTCTTTTTGGTGGCGGCTGCCTTCTTGGCTTGGATGTAGTCTTTCCATGCCTGGCGACCTGGCAGTCGCAAGCCTGCAAAGTTGGGATCGATGCACGTGGAACACCCTTTGGTGTTGCCTCTGCAACGAATGCAACCGAAAGTCTCGGCGGGCTTGGCCTTCTTGTCCTCTTTCGGTGGCTGCCGCATGGCCGGTGCCGCAGCTGGCCGCTTCATGCCCTTGGACTGCTTCGTCTCCTTGGCCTGCTTCTTGGTCTCGTTCTTCTTGCTTTGGAGCTTGGCGAAGGCCTCCTTTTCGAACTGCTCCAAAGTTTTCTTCTCCTGCAATGCTTCAAGCCATACACACAAAACATGTGATTGAAGTCGAGTCCCTATAAAGCAAAGCTGTCCTGCTTGGGAGACTGGTCGTTCTTTGTGGGGTCTGTGGCCGCAGTCTCCTTGCCAGCAGTCTCTGTGGGTGGCTTGGTGTCTTCGGCCTTGGCAGCTGCAGTTGGCTGGGAAGGGGCTGGTGGCAGCCACGGCAAGACCTGGTTCGCGGTTGCAGCTGCGACCGTCTTGGTGGGAGCCCCGAAAGACTGCAGTGGCAGTGGTGCCGGTGACTTGGGCTGGTGACCGTGCTTGAGCTTCAGCTGCTCCAGCTCTTCTTCAAACGTGATGGCCGCTTGTGGCGTTGCAGGTGGTCGCTTGCCTCTGAACCTGGTGCCCTTGTTGGCCGCCAAGGACGCATGGGTGTTCCGCAATGGTACCTTGGTTTGCAAGTATGTGTGATTAAAACAGAAGCAATTTAAAACATCAGACATGTGCCTGCAAAGCATGGGTCTTCATGCAAGCCGAGGGCCTTCTTCAGCCATGGCGCCATGCAGGGCTCCTGGCCCAGTGGCTTGTCCGTGGGGTAAGCTTTTCCCAGCCAGACTTCTCCCATCTCGTTGGGGTTGGCCGGGTCGGTCGCTGCTCCCGGGCAACTTGTCGCTGGCAAAGCTTGGAAAACCGCTGCAAAGTCGGCGACGGCAGAGATGATGGAGTCTGGGCTGAGGCATGGCCTGCCTTGGCCAGATTGGACCATCAACATTACGGCCACAGCCTGTGCCTTGGTGCCTTCCTTCAGGCTTTGGACTCCCATGCCTTTCAGCCGCTTGGCCAAAACCTGCAACTGGTCCGTCTGGGTGACGTAAGTGGTCAAGGCTGTCCAATCTGAGTGGGTCAAGTATGGCGCCAAATTGGGCACACTCTGGCCGGAGTTCACGAGCTTCAAGTGAGATCCTTGGCTCGTGCTCAAGTTCTGGATGGTATCCAGAATGCCACTCTTCATGGCTTCAGGGAAAGTTGAAGCCTGGGTCTTGGCTAACAACTGGCAGATGGCTTCGGAGGACCAGGACTGGTAGCTTTTCAGCTTTGTGCAGAAGGTGGAAGCCATTGACGCTGCCACTGGGCTGTCTGGGAGCATGCTGCACAAGTTCTGGAGATGGTCCAGCTCCTGGACTAGGTCCTGGCACCCGTACTGCTGCATGGCTTGGTCTCTTTCCTTGGAAGACCAGTGTGTTCAGCCAGAATGGCTTCGGAAAAGGCAGGCTTGTCTCTGCAGAAGGAAATCAAAAACATCATGGACTGCAATTAAAACGTGACTGGAAGAAGAGATGTCCTGCTTTCTGTGTCGTTCCTAAAATGGCAGAGCCACACTGGCGAAAGGATATGTTGTGCATCTGTATCTAGAAGCATATATGGGTTTATGGTTGGAAGAAAAGAATTGAAGACCCTGGTGTCCTGAATTGGCAAGCATGGGAAAGCCAAGTGGCTGGAAACTTTAGGGTATGGGTTTAGGGTTCCCAGAGCATGGTATAGCCGCTTGGCTTCAGGACATGGCAAGACGGTCACAGCAGTCTTTTTGGCAGCCGCGACTGACTTGGCTGCCCTTGCTCCAGTGGAAGACGTGGCCGTGGTCCTGGCAGGATCAACAAATTTGTGGTGTGGCTTCAACAAAGCTGTGGCTGCACTCCAAGTGGTCTGGAGATCTCGAAAGCGATCTGGCAGCGATGGCGGGTTTTCGCCAGCCACGATGAGGTCCGTCTGGTACTGGACCCATTGTTGGAGGCTGGGCTCCCCCAAATACCTGGGATTGTGACGGAAGCAAATTGGGGTATATATGTCTGGGCCAAAAAGCCTATATGGTCTCCTTGGGGTATGAATGGACCAAAAAAGCCCGTTGTGGGTTTCCCTACACAAAAGTATGTGGAAACCTAAATGACAATGGGTGCTGCTTGGCATCCATTCCGACTGGCGCTGGCAACGGTTCCAGTCGCCATCATGGACTGCTTGCATGAACCATGTGGCCTTGGAGAACCACGCTGGCGAGTCCGCCGGGCCGGACGTGGCGGGCGGCGGTTGGTCGGACTGGAGCTGGTCCTGGCGGTCGGCCCAGAACGCCTGGCATAGCTGGTTCAGTTTGGCCCACTGGCGTGCTTCGTGGTAGGCCAGCAGCCACCCCAGCTTGTGCTTCCACCCCGTGTCTTTGGTCTTTCTGGTGTGGGTGGAAGCTGGGGTGGCTGCTGGGCTACCACCAGGTGCAGCACTGGCGGATGCTCCTTGCCCTGGGAAGAAGTCGGGTGGTGGGTAGGGTGGCTCCCTTGGAACTCCTGCTTTTTGGGTCGGTGGCGGCCTGCTGGGTTCGTTTGGTCTTTGCTGGCCCATGGCTGGCTTGGCCCCGGCGACTTTTGGGTGTGGGCGGCGTGGTGGTGTGATGGCACGTCTGGTCAAGTCCATGCCGCGTGGGGGTGGGAGCGGCGGTGTTTTTGGTGCCGGTGGCAGTGTCGTGCGGTGAGTGGGTGGTTCTGTGCTTGGGGAGGGGGGCGGTTGCACTGTGGATGGGCGAGTGGGCGGGTACTTGAGCTTGGGCTGTGTTGGTGCAGCTGGTCGTGGCGAGGGTGTCGGTGCTTGGTGGGGCTTTGCTGGGCAGCGACTGGGCCTGGACCTTGACAATGGCGGGGGTGGTGCTGGCGGTGCTGGGTCCGAAAGACACGGGCGGCCCGGTGGGGAGGGCGGTGGCAGCACAGCCGGGTCCGAAAGAGACGGGTGGCCCAGTTGGAGCAGCGGCGCGGAGTGTGGGGCTGAAGGCTTGTGGTCCAGTTGGGTAGCCGGTCTGGGCGGTGTGGCTCAAGGACACCGGCAAGGGCGGTGGCTGGAGGCTGGACTGTTGGGGCTGCCAGCGGGGTGTGAACTGTGCGATGGGCTGCCCTGGACTTGTCACTGGTACCAGCTCCGGGTGGGTGATGGGGTAGACTGCTGGAGCTTGGAGTGGCTGGACGACAGGGTTGGTGGGGATAGGTAGGAAGGCGGGAGGGTGGCCTGCCAGTGGGTTGGGTGGCCACGAAAGGCCGTGGGAAGACAGGAGCCTGGCTCGCTTTGGGAGCCCGGGTGGCTGGGCTGGGGGGAGTCACAGGAGATGCCTGGTGGCTGGGCCCTGCCTCGGGGGCGGCGGATGCTTCGTGGCTGCCGGAGTCATGGGGGACATTCAACTCCACGGTTGGTGCTTGGAACCTGGGTTCCTCTGGCTCCGCTGGCGACTGTTGGTCTGGGCCGAGCACTGTGGGGACGGACGTGGGGCTGCTTTCAACATCTGTGGCATCGTCCATGGTGGTGAAACGTGGCTACTAAAACACCTGTCTCGGAAGTTTGTAACTGTGTGGTGAATGGTATGTGGTTTGTGTTTACTATGAGTTAAGTTCAAAATTTGATTCCAGGTGGTAAATTTTGGGAATTGAGTTAAAAATTTAAATTCAATCTTTCATTGGTTTCAAATTTTTAACTTGAGTCGCAGATTTTGGGAAAGGAGTTCAAATTTTGAACCTAGCCTATTTCATGGTCTGTTGTGAAGCTTACGGCACAGCCATGGATCCATGGTTCCTAAAGCCTGCCCTCATGCTCTGGGCCATGGACGGGAGCATAAACATTGGCAAGCGTATTTGTGTGGAAAGGCCAATTGGCTCATGGAGATGCACGTGCTACAGCCATGGGGCAGCTTGCATGTTGTGGTCCTACTTCCTGGAACAGCCACAGGGCTCGGGTTGTTGGCTGTGCATTTTGTCTGGGAGCTGCATGTTTTTTGGCTTTGCAAAGCGTAAACCCTAAACCCTCAACCCTTAACCCTAAAGCCTGAACCCAAAACCCTAACCCTAAACCTTAAACCCTCAACCTTACACCCCAAACCCTAAACCCTTCACCCTCAACCCTCAACCCTGAACCCTTCACCCTAAACCCTCAACCCTAGACCCTAAACGTGCAGGCCTGCATGGTTTGCTTGGAAACTCTGGTATGGCAGCTGTGGTGCTCATGGCAGCCATTTTTTTTGCCGGAGTGAGGCTCGCTTGGTTCATCCTGGCCGTGGAAAAGGCCTGGGCAGCAGGCCGCAGTGGCCTTCAAAAACAAGCACATGGAAGCCGATGGCAGTGGTGCTTCAAGCCATGGCCTCGTGGCACTGGAACCTGTGGCGGTGCATGGTGGTTTCACCCCCACCGCCAAGCGATGCCGCCAATCCTCAACGACTGGAGCCAATGTTGGCCGCACACCGAGCAGTGGATGAGGCTGTAGAGGCGATGGAGAAAAATTTGGCTGGATGCACAGTTGGTACATCTCAACACAAGATTTCCGCCTATTGGCCAGGCGTGGCCAATGTCCTCCACGCCTGGCAAGGTTGTCACCGTCCCTGGCTCTGGGTCCGTGGTGTTGGCGATCGGCTCGAGTGGGCCCAACCCCATGGTCGCCATGACACCTGGCGGCCCTGCCACGTTGGCCGCTGGTTTCTTTGACGCGACGGGCTTGGACTTGGCCGGTTTCTCCTTCATGGTGGGCTTCTTGGCCGCCGTGGTCTTCTTCATGGCCTTCATGGACGGCATGGCTGCAGGCTTGGGCGGCTGTGGGTGGTGACTGGCCAGAGTGGCAGCTGACATGAAAGCAAAATCCAGACGGAAACAATCATGGCATGCATGTGCACGTGGTATAGCCAAAGAGGCTCTTGGAAATGGTATATAGCCACACAGGCTCAAGCATGCATGGACCCCTGCAGCGGCTAGGCGTGGCCCCTTTTCCTCAAGGTCGGTGGTGGATCCTGCCTGCATGGCGGTGGCCGCCTTGAAAAAAAAACATGGCTGCTGCATGGATCTGGCCAAAGAGTGGCCCTGCATTATGCCACCATCCTTGATGGATGTGATCCATGGCTGCTCGCGATGCGAGCAGTTGGCCATGTGGTAATGTCTCCACAGAAAGATCCTGCACTGGTCGCAGTTGGAGCACCGAACAAGCACGTGGACACCTGCAGGCCCTGTTGGCTCTGGCACCTGGTCCATGTCGGGGACCTTGCCATTCTTGGCCACGGCCGTCCTGTTGGTGATTTTTTCCATGGCAGGAAGTGGAAGGAAAGGCCAGATGGCTGGGTGGCTTGGCAGAGGAATATGCTGGTGTGGAAAATATATGTATAGAACAAAAACTGTCGGATGTATATTTTTAGGTACATACACGCTATACATCTTGGAAAACATACAGTACAGGCTCAACACTCATATCGGTGTAATCTAGAAGCTAAACATTGACATATCAGTGGAAATATAAGGCTGTTATGAATTCACTAACTGTATGTTTACACACAAATCTCTATCAGTATATCTCTAACCAACTACACATTTATCTTTCTCTATAAACAAATCGTGGAAAAGCCAAAGGGCTCGCATGCTGACCTGAACTGGTATAGCCAAGCAGGCTTCATGCAACATGGACCAAAACCCTGTATGCTCAACCTCGCCGCAGTGGAAGAGTCTGCAGTGCGAAGAGATTCCTGGCAACGTGGTATCTTTCTCTATAAACAAATCCTGGAAAAGCCAAATGGCTTGCATGCTGACCTGAACTGGTATAGCCAAGAAGGCTTCATGCAACATGGACCAAAACCCTGCATGCTCAACACCGCCTTAGTGGAAGAGTCTGCAGTGGAACAGATTCCTGACAACGTGGCCGCTGTCTCTGGCTGCCCTGGGATTGCTGGAGTTGTGACACAGTTGTGGCCCGTGGCTGCCAGGGTGCACGTGGCCGACAATCGGAGACTACCAAAGGTGACCCTAGGCAAAGGTGACCTTTGCAGGGTCTGTGGCTGTGCCACAGAGTATGGCATAGATTGAATATGTTTGGACGAATACATTTAAATTACACAGCGTGTGTGTGTGTGTGTGTGCAAATTCTAAATCTAGATGTGTTGCTTCAAGTAGTGCCAACAATCAAAACAAACAGAACTGCCAGCCAAAAAACATTTTGCTCCAAGTGGTGCCAACTATCAAAATCGTTGTGAACCAAGAACAAAATCATATTTTTTGTTTTCAGAAAGAGAAAACCCCAAACTCCAATCCCCAAACCCCAAACCCTAAACCCTAAACCCTGAACGACCCTAAAATGCCCTGCGTATGTGCCTGGCGCCGTGGACCACAGCCAGCCACCATGCCGGGGGCCCCAGGCCTTACCCTGCCCGACCCTTCTCCTTCCCCCTCCCCACTCCCCCCCTCTCCCCCCACCCCCCAACACACACTGTGTGAGGACAATGGGACCCTAAACCCTAAACCCTGAAACCCTACCGGGCTGTGTAGCCCTAATTGGTAGGACAATTGCGGGGCTGTAAACCCTAAACCCTAAACCCTAAGTATAGCCCTAGGCCGGGCTGTATAGCCCTAATTGGGCTGTGTAGCCCTAGGACAAATGGGCTGTATAGTCCTAGCCAGGCTGTATAGCCCTAGTTTGGCTAGTTGGGCTGTGCAGTCCTAGACAAATGGGCTGTATAGCCCTAGGCCGGGCTGTATAGCCCTAGCTGGGCTGTGTAGCCTCAGGACAAATGGGCTGTAAGGCCCTAGGCGGGGCTGTAAAGCCCTAGTTGGGCTGTGTAGCCCTAGGACAAATGGGCTGTTTTTTTAGGCCGGGCTGTATAGCCCTAGTTGGGCTGTGTAGCCCTAGGATAAATGGGCTGTATAGCCCTCGGCCGGGCTGTGCCCTAGGACAAATGGGCTGTATAGCTCTGGGCTGAGTCAGAACCAGACGAATTCCATTTATAGGTCTCTACCTGACAAAACTCTCACGATTTTTTTTAAAGCTTCTTTTTTTGGGTCTCCGCCCTCACAAAACTCTCGCGAATTTTTAAAGCGCCCCACACACCCCACACACCCCGCACGCCCCGCGCGCCCCACGCACACCCCACACCACCCCACACCCCCCCACACCACCCCACACCACCCACACACCACCCCCCACACCACCCACCACCCAACACCACCACGCCTCCGACCCCACCACCCCCCACCACCCCCCCACACCACACACCCCACCACAACAACCCCGCACCCACACCACCACACAACACACCCCACACCACCCACACACACCCCACCGCCCCCCCCACCCCCCCCCCCCCCCACCCCCCCCCCCCACCCCCACCCCCCACCCCACCCCCCACCCCCCCCCCCACCCCCCACCCCCACCCCCCACCCCGACCCCTCACACAACCCACACCCCACACCCCACACCCCACCCCACAACCCCCCACCCCACACCCCACACCCCACACCCACACCCCACACCCCACACCCACACCCACACCCACACCCCACACCCCACACCCCACACCCCACACCCCACACCCCACCACCCACACACCACACCCCACACACCCACCACACACACCCCACACACCGCACACCACACACCACACACCACACACCACACACCCACACACCCGCACACCCACACACCCACACACCCACACACCACACACCACACACCACACAGCCACACAGCCACACACACCACACAACCACAAAACCACACAGCCACACAGCCACACAGCCACACAGCCACACAACCACACAACCACACACCCACACACCCACACACCCACACACCCACACACCCACACACCCACACACCCCACACCACACACCACACACCACACACCACACACCACACACCACACACCACACACCGCACCACACACCGCACACCGCGCACCGCACACCGCACACCGCACACCACGCACCACACACCACACACCACACACCACACACCACACACCACACACCACACACACACACACCCCACACCCCACACCCCACACCCCACACCCCACACCCCCAATTGAACTCCAGACCTCAAGCCCTGATTGAACCCTTAACCCCTAAACCCTAAATCCCACTACCACACAATGGGGGGTGCCATAGGTGGGGAGCAGCAACAGCCCATTCCTGTTGGGCTTAGGGCTTAGGACGTGGGATTCAGCTGATGGTGTGGGGGAACACGCGTCGGGTACCCGACGGGTTTGATGCGCGCCCGTCGGGTACCCGACGCGGGCACCTCCCCTCCCCCTACACACACACACACCCAAACAAATTTGTATTTGTGTCAAATGAAGCGAATCCAAATTGACAGAATTGTCTTACATACAAAAACAACTTTGTTTGGACGGAGAATGTCAATTTTGATTTGGCCTTCATTAACGGCCTGCAAAGCCTGAAAACCCCAAGCCCCGACAACCAAAACCCAGAACATTTTTTCAGTCGGGCCCGACGGGCGCACATCGGGCCCGTCGGGTACCCGACGCGTGTTGGGGGAGAGGAAAGGGGAAGAAGCGCTTTGCGTTTGAGGTTTAGTGCTTTAAGATTATAGGGGTCAGGAGTTTGGTCCCACCCACCCCCGTGGTGTGGTGGCGGGGTTTGGGGTTCAGGTTTAGGCTTAACTTAAGGTTTCAGGGCGGAAACCCAAGAAGTGTGTGTGGGGGAGGGACACACGCGTGCCCCCGTGGTGTGCTAGTGGGATTTCGGGCTTAAAGTTTCAAGGGTTCAATCAGGGCTTTAGGGTCCAGCGTTCAATCGATGTTTTGGGCAGAAGGCATTGCGGCTTAAGTAGCACTTTGGGTTCGAGGACAATTCTGGTTCAAGAGTCTGGGCTGAGGATTTAGGGTGCTATTCCCCTTCGCCCACCCCCCCCCCCCCCCCGTGGTCTGGCGGTAGGGCGTTGAGCTGAATTTAGGGTCTTAGAGCGTTTGCGGTTTCAGGTTTAGGGCTTTGGGGTTTTATGTTTTAAGGGGGTTCCTCCCCCCCACCCAAGTCTAGAGTCTAGGACAAAGTCTCTGGTTTTTAAAGAATTCTTTCACTCTCATTTGTGTTGCAAATGCATTTTATCGGGTGAGAAGTTTTTCAAATTGAGTTAACCTAGCCAACTTATGTTGAGGTGGCGCCAAAGCATGCTTTCTGTTTTCAGTTCAATGGTTAACTCAGCTCTTGCGCTCAACTTTACTGTTTCAAGTGCTGCCAACAGTCTTCTTCGATTTCAAATAAGAAACAAACTCAAGCCACTGATTACCAGCTTCGTAGGGTTTAAGGCTTGCAAAGCCCAAGACCTTAACCCGAAACCTCTACATCTAGGGATTAGGGTTTAGGGTTTAGGGTTTAGGGTTTAGGGCTTCGGGTTTAGGGTTTACATTTTAAGGGTATCGCTCCTCAGCCGGAAGCCCCGTGCAAGTTTCTTACCACTCAACGGGGGTACCATGGGGGGGAGCAGCAACAGCCCATTCCTGTTAAAGTTGCCTTCTTCGTCCTTTCCTCCCCCAACCCGCGTCGGGTACCCGACGGGTTTGATGCGCGCCCGTCGGGAACCCGACGCGGGCACCTCCCCGCCCCCCCCACACACACACATTGTTTCCCATCCTGGGTTTCCGCCCTGGCCAAAACCTCTTGACGTTTTTCAATGTCCCAGATAAGCCAGACACTTAATGTTCCCCTAACCCTATGTAACCCGGCCGTGAGTCAAAGCGGGCAGAGGCCAAACCCTGAGCCCTAAATCCAAACCCACCACTAATGAAATTACAGGCATACACTTTCCCGGAACCCAACCTTGAACCAGAAGCTTTGCTACGTTCTGGGTTTTGGTTGTCGGGGCTTCTTGGGGTTTTGAGGCTTTTGCGGTCTTTTAATGAAGGCCAAATCAAAATTGACATTCTCCGTCCAAACAAAGTTGTATTTGTGTCAAATGATAACAAAAAAACCAACGAATCCAAATTGACAGAATTGTCTTACATACAATACAGTATTTTGGGAGGGGTGCCCCTGGGAAAACAGACGCATATCCGTCGGGTACCCGACGCGTGCCGGGGGGAGGGGTGTACTCGACGGGTGTTCTGGGGGTGCAGGGGGCGATAATGTTTCAAGGCTCTGTAGCTCATACTCCTAATAAAGGCCACACAGCCCACGCCCCTCTTAGGGCTATACCGCCCATGACCCTAACAACAACCCAAAGGCTACACAGCCCCTCGCGAAGACTATGCTAAAGCCGAAGAAGGTCAGACTGAACCCCCAAACCCCCAAACCCCCAAACCCCCAAACCCCCAAACCCCCAAACCCCCAAACCCCCAAACCCCCAAACCTACTGTGGCCCGGCATGAGGGATGCGGGCCACCACGCCTTGGTGTTTTGGGTCATCGCGAATCAATACTCAGGTTTTGGAGCTTCGATGCAGG